TCGACAGAGCCCTCGCCCTTCTTGGCCTCCTCTTCCTCCTCCTTCTCGAAGTCCTTCACAATCTGATCCCAATTCTTGGCCTTTGGTTTGGCTTTGGGTTCACTCTTGCCTTCATTTGTTGTCATTTGAATTGTCTTTTCAATTGACGTCTAAATTGTTTACAACTAATAAATAAATAATTAGAGAAACGACACACACCCGCGCCCTCCCGGGCGTACTGGCGCGCTCCCAGGGCATGCCCGGCGTATTTGAGACGTGCCCGCCCGCCCAGTTTTTAACATTACAACTTAATTAATTAATTAATTATAAGTTAAATTAAAAGTTAAATTAAAAGTTAGTATTTTATAAAACATTTATCTATACCACTAAACTTTAATTAGTTTAAAAAACAACCACAAAATATTCAGTATTTTACTAGATTTAACAAAATGTCTGGATATAATAATAATTGCCCCTTTTCATCCCTTATTACACGACGTAATATATGAGAGGTGCTTAACCCCTCCTATTTTTAGGGCATGCCGGGCGTATTAGGCGCGGGCGGGCGGGCGTAGGCGTATTACTCACGCGCCCGCCCAACCGTCGTTCCCTACATTGGATTTACAGAATCGACACATAAATGATGACTCGTTGTGGTTGTGGTGGGGTTTGGTTCCGCACTTCTTGTGGCGATTATCACCCGATTTATGTGACACACACTCAGCGCTAAGAGGCCATCAGTTCATGTGATTTATAAATGAATTAAAAGTCAAATTAAATGCAAAAATGCATTTGAATTGTGGTTTGAAAAGCAAATGATTGCTGAATGTGTTGAATGTGTTTGCGTTGAGCACTGACGGCAACCACAGAGACATCTGCCGTGAAATGCAGTCATAACTGAAAATCCATTTTAATTGCAAATGAATTGGGATTTTGAGAAACAATTTGTTTTGATTTCCCTATAAATGACTCATTAATTCATACTTTTATTATACATTCAATTCATTGAACACTCGTTTCAGTGATTATTCATTGCTTTTAATCATATGTGATGTCAACCAAAGAGTGGTAACCATTAGACCAATTGATTTGGACGTCAATCAATCAAAGTGACAGTTGAGGCGATAATATCATTGCACTCGCGGTTGGCAAGTGTTGGAAGTGGTGACCGACGATGACTGTGGACCACAACTTGGCTCATGACATGCCATCGGCGATGAGTGACTTGATATCACTCATCGAGAATGAGATCCCCGACGGCCGACAGAACCTCATAGACTCCAACTCTAATCTCGACAAAGTGGCCGATTATTGCGAGACCAACTACTTCCAGGTATCACCACTACCACCATATGATCACATAAGACATACATGCCATCACCCAATTGATCCAGACCAATGCCACGTATGTCACTCATGTTGGCAGACGTGGACGACAAGTGTCTGGCAGTGGTTACGATGGCATGTCATGTCATGGAGTCATAGAGTATACCATTGATTGGAGGCTACCCTCCCGTTCCCATACTTATAAATGTTTGATATGTTGTAAACTCAATTGATATGATTGAATGGTTTAGTCGGACAATAAGAGGTCTGCTTTGGAGGAGACGAAGAACTACACGACCCAATCGCTGGCATCGGTGGCCTATCAGGTGAACACATTGGCCTACAATTTGCTTCATATGTTGGACTTACAGACCTCACAAATGGCTGAAATGGAGTCCCAAATCAATCACATCTCGCAGACGGTGTGCATCCACAAGGAAAAGGTGGCGCGAAGAGAGATCGGCATTCTCACCAACAATAAGACGACTGTCCGACAGCACAAGATCTTAGTGCCGGCAAACCCGGAGCGGCCGATCAAATACATACGAAAGCCAATCGACTACTCGGTGCTCGACGACATCGGACACGGAGTGAAAATCACGGCAACGAATGCCCCGCGAAGTAAGTCCCACACCATGAAGAACGGCTCGAGCACTCTGATGATGAGCAGTGGGGGTCCGGCGCCCACCACCAAACCCCCGACGCCCCCACAAATGCGAAGCGTTGGCAGTCTGTCGCGCGGCAACAAAGAGTACAGAACGCCGGCCCCACCCATAGCGCCCCCACAGGTGCCCAGCAATTACGCGCCCAACTATCCCATCGGACACCCGAAGGCTCTCGACTCGAATAGGAGAGGATCCGGGTATTCGACACTTCCATTAGGTTTGGGACATCAGAGCGGAATCATATCGAATGTTATGCAACAAATGGGAGGACAGGCGACCCTTCAGTCACATTACGGACAATCGATGCACGGGTCGCAGGGTATGCCACAGTCGCAGCCCATAGGTATGGTGCACCCAATTACCCATCCGGCACACCATCACCATAACAGTGCTTCGGCTAACTTTGTAGTCCCGCCGTCACCAACACCACCACCTCCTCCGCCTCCTGCTCTCCATGAAATGCCAGTTCTCTCACCCATTAGTGACTCATTGCCAGACCCGCCGCCGATGCACTTACAGCACAACCAACACAACGATCACTTTGAGAGGCACTCCAACGGTACGTCTCACTCCTCGCCACTCAGTCCTTTCAAACTGTACACTAAGTCTATGTGTTATGTCAACAGCTTCTCCACCTCTTCCTCCTCCGCCACCCATTCATGAGGACAGCCATCACATGAATCTCTATAATATGGAGCAAATTGTTCACAACACGAGTGGTTCTTATAGGGATCGACACCAGGACTCGGAATGGGTTCCAAACAATTATTTAGAAAAAGGTCTCTTTAATGAAGTGTTTATTTGTTTTATTAAAGTATTTGTTTGTCTAATATGTGCAGTGATTGCGATCTATGACTATAACGCCGATAAGGACGACGAGCTCTCATTCTCTGAGAATTCTGTCATTTATGTGATCCGCAAGAATGACGACGGATGGTATGAGGGGGTGATGGACGGCATTACCGGTCTATTTCCCGGCAATTATGTTGAGCCATGCATTTGAATCACTTATTATTTAATATATAATATATATTTCTTTGATTATTTTACTTATTTTTGTTTCACTTTATTTTATGAACTCTATTATTAGCTTTTAGGAAATTCTTAAATATTTTTATTATTTATTAATCTTTTCGAAAACATCGTTAACTTCTCTCATAATTTTGATTTTAAATTATATTTTATAATAAACTTTCTGTACATGATATCTATCTTAGTAATGATTATGTAAGATTTTTAAAATTAATTTCATGCCAAATTTGAAAATGTAAATCAATTCAACTCAGTACAATCTTAATAATTGTAATTTTCAAGCGTTTTTAATTAAAATTAATTGTTTATTACCATAAGTGAAATAGTTTTGTTGCAAATAAATATACTGATACTGTATTAATATCAGTGATACACTTTCAGTATTATTAATTAACAAGTAAATGTTGAAAAATAAAAGTCCCGGTATTATAATGTTTACTCAAATGAGGATTAGATGTATTAATGAGGACGACGTTATCGAAAGCTTTGCAATTTATAGGAAGAGTTAGGCATTCCTTTCCTCATTAGTTTGATTATCACTGATAACTCGTTGAATTGCTTTCAATTAGTGTGGTGTTCAAGGATATCGCACACACCATTACAGTGCCGTACAGTTATGTATCATAAACCATCACAAATTTGTCAACTTGCAGTTTTAGTTAATGCTTGTTATATGTGTTTGACTGCATTTGGATTGTTTCACTAAATCCGATTTTAGTTATTTTATAATACCGGTCATAATCGTATAATGATTTTTGGGTAACATTATACTGTAATATTCTTTATTAATACTGCTAATTCTTATGTTACAAAATTGTATTGAGTCTAATCTGTAATAAGACTGTTTTTATCGGCTTTGTTATGCTATTTATAATCAAACCAA